GGGGGAGGTGTAGACCTGGAATTTCATCAGCTCAGGGAGTTTCTGGTGGGGGAACCCCACCTCCCAATACAGATTGGCACCTAATCTTAAAGTCACCCCTCTGGGAGTTGAACTCGGGTCTTCCTGCAGATCACAGAAGGGAATAAAACCACTCTGGGCAGATTATATGAATATTTCAGGTAAAAGGAAAATATTTGGGCTGACTCAGCTGAATAATGATCCCAATCATACATTTCTCTTCAGGTGAGCAGGAATAGCTATTTAGAATATCCAGTGGATTCAGAAGTCTCCTTTGTTTGCTTAACTATGGGCTTTCTTACAGTGGCTTCTGCCCCTCTCTAAGAAGACTCCTTTTGGGGTACTGGGAGTGTCTGAGGGAGGCAGCTGGCAAGAGATTCTAATATAGACCCTCAGTGAAGGATTCACTGGTCAAAAGCCTCAGGTGCTTTCTGACCATCTGTCCAGAGTGCTGAGAAGACTCTCATTTCTTGAAACCACTCCTCCCACATAGTGATACCCAGTAAATGCCTATGCAAAGGTATGTACCAAATTGGTTGACAGGGCTGGGGCTGGGCCTAAGCATCAACTCCCTCCAAAAGAAGATAAGCATTTTTCGAAGCTTCTCTTGGTTTGCTGATGACCTGATAGCAGCCAGTTCTCCTCTTCAACAATGTTATGGACGGCGAAGTTAGACTTACCAAGGATAAAACAGGCCCTAAGCAATGGTTCAGATCAGGCCGACGCCCCGATGATGACAAGCAAAGCAGACGGAGCTGCCTTTTTCATTTCACCCAAGGTGGGTGACTAGGTCAACAGCCACTGCCAAGACTAATAAACTAGGCCACAACCCAAGTGCCCAGACATGCTGCCCATACTTGCAGTCATTCCCCAAGGCCACCTGAAGTGATTCAGGTTGCTCCTACAGTTCGCTAAGGTTAGTTAGTGAGTCTAAAATCATAAAATAACAGTTTTGAGGCTAACCATCGAAACATCCAGAATTCTGGTTGTAAGCCTGGTTTCTGTTTCTGGCAGACTTTCTCCATCTATCTCGCTCTGCTCGGCCCCGGGCCTTCTTCTTCCGTTGGAGCTTTATGATGTCATCTGGAAAGGGAAACACAGACATGAGTGTCAGCTGGGCACACTACAGAATGATTCTACCAAAAGCAGACAGGGGTGGGGGGCACTTTGAAGACCCCAAAGAACTGATGAGTGGTAGCACCAGAAATGTTATTCTACTGGTGGAAAAAATGTTTAAAGGAAGGCTGTTGAGCAAATTGATGGTAACTTCACATACACAGGCTTGTACCTTAGCAGAAGCATAAAGGTGCTGATGAAATGTTATCGCAGCTGTGGGGAAGTGGTCCAGAGTCCTGAGTCCCTCTGAAGTACAACACCAGATGTTCACCACTTGGCTCTACTTACCAGCCTTCAAAGACTTTATGTGTCGGTGGGCAGCAGTGCAGGGGTAGCCACAGGGCCTGAGGCACACTGTTGTACGCTCTCATTCACCCTATTGCCTGTCACCATTTGATGCCTACAGTTCCACCAACATAAATTAATGACCTTGGGTGTCAAACCCCAAGTGGGCGTATAGAATCCTACCTTGAATTTCATTGGGTAACACTGCACTTGGACAACCAGTTAAGAGAGCAAGGCCCTTTGGGAACACGGAATAAGCTAGGCACCTGAGGACAGGCAGAGGCTGCCAAGAGTTCTGGGGAAGAAGTTTGGAAGGCAAGGCCATTGAGTGTCCCTGGCATAATTTTGCTCAGACCCCTAAAAGAGACCCCCAGTCATTTAGCTCTCTTGTCACCCTGAAATATTCAATGTACTGGATTGGGAGTACTAAGACCTGCCTCCAAATTCCAGCTCTTACTAGCTGTGTGACCTTTAGTAAGTCACTAATCTCTCTGGG